AGGGTTCTCTTGCTCTCCTCACCAGTCATTACTTTGGCATCGAAGTCTGTGCTGACGTTATGCTGAAATATTGATTGACACGTGGGAGAGACCGATTTTGAAATTGTTTTTTTCTCACATTTTATATATTTGTGAGCAGAATGTATAAACATTTTTTTTTCTTTCATTTAATACATAGAAATTAATCTTGATAGGTTTACTTTAATATATATATATATATATATATATATATATATATATATATATATATATTTATCATATCACTTTTTTATCTAATCCTCTCACAGCTCAATGAATTGTAATAACTGGAAGGGTTGTAGGCTGATGAACCTTTTTTTACCACTTACTTAACCATTCATCATTTTCCCATTCGGGTCTCCATGACCTCTCTCGAATGTTTCTGTTTAGTGATTACCCTGACTTGCTCCATTGCCCTCATATCTACTTATCTACGCTTCAGAGCTTCAAATGCTTCTTTAAATCCCATGAATTTAAGAATACATGTCACTTGCTAGCAGCTATTAAGGAACATCAACAGCTACTGATCCTATAACAACCTTACATCTCTCCTGAGCCCTTCTTAAGGCCCATACTCTTATTGTAAAGACACTTGTTATAAATGATCCTATATGTAAACCCGTCCCTATTATTATTAGGTAATATATATAAATTCTAGATGACTGATTTCAAGTATATTATTTTGTCAAATTTCCATGTCATATAATTCTTCTTGACAGTTCTACTCACTGGAGATTTAAAATAGGTAAAACATATCATAGTAATGTATTCCACATTTTCTATGCACTGGTTTTAAATGTCCTTCTTATTTATCTTTTTACTGCTTGCTGTGGACATAAGTCACAATTGTGTGATACTGCAGTATATTTGGACTCATACTGTGTATTCTGTTATCACTCATGCAAGTGCCATACCTGGGGAAATACTCCCAAGCAATTAAGGAAAATAAAATCTAGTTTGTTATGTAGGAAAAAAATAACTGCATAATCATCCATACAACTTTGCTGGAGGGGTTTGGATTACATCTAAAGCTTCTCTCCAAAACGATTTTCATTCCTTAGTGCCATATCCCTCCATGTAGGTTGCTTAATGAGCTCCTCAAGCTTTGCTTGAGAGGTTTGTAACAAAATTTACCACCGTAGGCATGTGTAAAAATCCATCCTCATTGAAAACACCACTATCTGCAATGTGCTTTTAAATGTTCACCTTCAGTAGGATGTAGTCAGATTGCTAAATATACTTGTGTTAGGAAATAATTCACTTTATTAGTGAGGCTTTGTTACAGGGATTGCGCAATAAACAGATGTTTGCTATATATTTTCACATTTACTATTTAAGACAAATGTGTCATTTTTTAAAGGAACACTAAAGCACCATAATCTACAGCCTTCCGTAGTGGTTATGGTGCCTTGAGTGCCCTAGCGATCTCTCTTTCCTCATTGTAAGTAGTCCAACTGCGCCAGCTTAGGAGATTCTGTTTCTTGACTACAATTCAATGTTATAGTACAAACATAGACATGTTATTTTTATACCAGTGGTTATATGTTTGATGAGACATTCTCATATGCATGATTTGTAATTTGGGCACATGAGATTATTCTTAGGACACATTTAAAAAAAAAAAAAAAATACATAGTTTGCCAAATAAAGCATTCATAAATTATTTCCAACAGTACACATGAGGATAATTGTACAATTGTGACAGTAGCAGCATCAGGACAAAATATCATCCTAAATATGTGAGTATTTTTTTTTAAAGAGACCTTTGGTTGCAGCATGTAAGATTTTAATGTAGTATTAAAATCTTTGCAAAAGGAGTATCAGTCTAAAATATACCTGGTTCTGAAGAGATCAAGTAAACCTCAGCTGAGAAACATAGATAGCAAAGAAAGCACCTGACCTCCCTCTGGCAGTAAGGTTCTAAGAACATGGAACTGAATGTAATTGAAACACAATTTATTGTGACATATAGAAACTGTATTTTCTTGTCTATTTATAAGGCCTTTTATCTATTACAAAGCTTAAAAAAAAAAATATGCTCTGAGATTCTAGTTAGGTGCCAGAACTTCGCCTGTTACCATATGGAATATCATAAGAAATAAAGAAGTTTAACATGTTGCCATAGAAACATATGGATGTAATGGTCTTTTTTTTTTTTTTTTTAATGAAAAGGGCTTTGTGACCTCTTTTAGAAGCATGGCTCTCAATTTACCTACCTTAAGTTACAGCTAATGAAATTGTGTTATGAAATAGGTTTGAACTATGTCAGTGTTAACGACAAAAACAAGATAGGTTTTTAACACTATATTAGAAATATTATTTACTAACTGTATGAAAGACTAAAGTTTCACAAGATCTAAATGAACGCAATAGCGCTAGGAATACAAACATGTATTTCTAACATTGTAGTGTTCTACTCCCTATTTAGATTCAAAAGTCCCTCCTCCTAAATTTAATTTAAAAATAATAATGAATATACCCTTTTTGTAGAGCCAAGACCCAGTCCATGCAGATGCATGCTCCACTTCCCATGTAGTCTTACTGCAGACTGTCTCCTTTTAGTCTTCTCGTACAATCCTATGCTTCCGATAGAGAAACATTGGGGACAAGAAGCGCATGAGTGGAAAGAGCAGCACTCCTCCAATCACATGCTTCTCATAGCAAAGCACTGAATCCATTGTTTCCCTATGATAAGCGTTAGTGGACATTAGCGTTAGAGGCATTGTATAAGGCGAACTTGACAGAACCGAGTCTAAATCGGTCATGGGCACGTAAGCATCCTCCAATAGCTGTCAAGAAAGCACTGCAATATAAATATTGCCATATCTACAAAACAGCAATGTTTTACAAAAGTAACAGGGCTATTGAACCCAGACCAATGAATTGAGATGGAGTGGTCTAGGTGCCTATAGTGATATTTAAAGCAGTAATTACCATTTAAAGGTTCATAAAACCAGTTTTCCACTGAAACATAAAACAGAATGGATTAAATACTTCCAAAGGTGTTATCTGCTAGGCCCCAAGTGTATATAAGAATGTTAAAATATGGATATGGAAGCCACAGTGGATAAGCACATGTAGTGCAAGGGTGCAAATTCAGAGATTAAGCATGGATTTATACATTTTTCTCAGGGCAATTTAGTGTCTGTAAAACAAATGTTCATATTCCATGAAAACATTTATTAGCTTCCAAACATTATTTTTATGAAACATATCTGCTAGCACTGCAAGCGGGCAAATCATTTAGATTTTGAAATTCCAGACCTGGATTTATAGCATTTTAACAATTTAGGTCTAGATTTCTGCTGTCTGGTAATGTTTTGGACCATATTCAGGCTCATTTGGAACCTTGTTTGCAAAATAAAGACATTGTTAAATAGCATAAACAATGTCTGCATTTTGCATTCCGAATGGACCTGTACAGCATTGGATGGTCAGGGCCGGATAAAGATAGAGGCTGATGGAGCGGTGGCTCCAGGCCCAGGCCCATGGAATAGGCCCATTGATTAAAAAATAAAAAAAATGTACACACTACTCTTAGGGTTGCCACCTGGCCAGTATTTATTTGAGGCTTCCTGACTGGTGCCAATATTGCAGTTATACCGGCAATACAAATGGTGGTATTTTTCTCAGTATAAACAGAAATTACTCTGCAATACCATCACTGGCCAGTAGGTCGCTGTGTGTAGAGAGAGGCAGGGATAGTGCTACGGAATCTGTTGGCGCTATATAAATGGCAATAATAAATAAATAAATAAATAGCAAGTTACAGCATATACCTGCATCTCTTTACTCACTAATCCACGCGGGAGCAGCTATACAGCACAGAAAGTCCAGACAGATGCTCCCAGCCTGCAGAGACAACCTACAGCGCAGGGAAGTGAAGGATGGGGTAAAGGCTGCATTAGGACACGGAGACACTAGGGGACACTGTAAGACATAGGGACACAGGGAGAACTCTGGGGACGCTTAGACACTTGGAGACACGGGGACACAGACACACATGGGGACACTTGGGGACACTGAGACACTGAGACCTGGGAACATGGAAACACTGGGGGATGCTGGAAGACATGGGGACACAGACACTTGGGGAAACAGACACACATGGGGACACTGAGACATGGGGACACAGACACACATGGGGACACTTGAGGACACTGATACATGGGGAATCGGAGACACTAGGGAACGCTGGAAGACATGGAGACACAGACACATGGGGAAAAATACACACATGGGGATACTTGGGGACACTGAGACATGGGTAAACAGACACACATGGGGACACTGAGACATGGGGGCACAGACACTTAGGGACACTGGGAGACATGAGGACAATGAGACACTAGGGACTCAATGTCCCTAAGCGTCGTAGTGTACCCAGTAATGTATCCTGGTTATACTATGACCCCCCTGCCATTCCCCCCCTTCTAAATACACACACATTCACTGACACACACACACACTCACAGACACACACACTCACATTAACACAATTTGTTTTGTTTTTTTAATTCAATCCCCCCAGCCTTCCTCTCTTTGGGAATGCTGGGGGGGGTTCTCCCTTTCCCTGGGGTCCAGTGGGGCTGCTGGGCGGGCGGGCGGAGCTGGCGAGGGAGTACTGATTAGTGAGCTCTCTCCTTAGCTCCCTCGCGCGCCGCAGAGTGATTCCGGGAGCCAGAATATGACATCAAATTCAGGCTTCCGGTATCACTCTGCGGCGCATGAGGGAGTTGAGCAGAGAGCTCAGGGGAAAGTGCTCCCTCGCCAGCGCCGCCCGCCAGCCCGGATTTTTAGTTAGCCACTAGGCTAACAAGACATTTGCTTGGGCATTTGGGGGCGGCTTTTTTTGCCGCCCCCTGGAAAGTGCCGCCCAAGGCAAATGCCTTGTTTGCCTCGTAGCTAATATGTCCCTGTGTGTACCCATGTCTCCCAGCCAGTGTCCCTAGTGTCTCAGTGTTCCCATGTCTCCTAGTGTCTGTGTCCCCACATCTCCCAGTGTCCACATGTCTCCCAGTGTCCCCATGTCTCTGTGTCCTCTGGTGACATGAGGACACTGGGAGACATGCGGACACAGACACCAGGGGACACTGGGCAACATGGGGACACAGAGACATGGGGACACAGGGAGACACGGGGCACAGACACTGTGATACATAGGGACACTGTGTCCCCCTGTGTCTCAGTGTCCCCATGTCTAACACTGTCCCCTAGTGACATGGGGACACTGGGAGACATGGGACACAGACTCTAAGGGACACTGGGTGACATGGGGAAACTGGAAGACCTGGGAGACAGGGAGACACTGGGAGCAATCCATCTATACAGTAGAATAAAACTGTAAGTAGTTTTTGGGTGATTTTACAGAATTTTATCTTATGTCACTCCTTGTGATTTACATCATGTGATGTCACATTTCCATAATTAGTTATGCAAATTAGTAAGGCATGTATTGTTTTCCAAGAAAGGTGGCAACCCTAACTACTCTTCACATACTCTTGCTTAAGTATGGAAACTTAAGAGGGATATATGTAAACAAAACTTGTGTGGTCTAGCTGAAATGAAATTAGTTAAGTTAATGCTGACTTTGTTCTCTTTAACACGGTGGCAACTCTAACATGTTCCCTTTCTTCTACACTCACTACATACACCTTTTCTCTGTCTAACACTGTATACCAGGAGTTTCTGCCTGCTAGAAAGAAGGTAAGGAGACAAGTGGACATGTGAGTGCTAGGGGACAGTCCTTCAAAAGAATGGAGCAAGCGTATCATTAGACGCATTTATACCAGGCTCAGTATGTTGTTGGCCAGCATGCATGATTGGCAGGCAGCCTGACATGCATTCATGCCAGGCTAGCCTTCCAATTCTTTGGGCAGCTGCATCCTATGAGTTTCCCTTCCGCAACATCTCTTTAATATTCTTGGATAAGCTTTTAAGGTTTTTTTTTTTCAAAATATAAAATTAAAAAAATAATATATGGTACATTGACATTGTAGATGGCTTATGCATTGTATGGTCATAAACTGTAACTAAACCCCCATTATTTTTGCGTAGATTAGGTTTTTTTTTTTTTAAAAAAAACTAATACAATCTGTGAGCTTTGAAGATGCAATTTAGTGAATGAGTGAGTGCGCTGGATCTTGTGTATTGTATTAAATAAATAGTGTAGATTGGATTAGCTGTATTAGTCTAGTAGACAAGATGCCAAAATACCAGAGTATTGCAGTATTCAATGATACCTTTTTTTTATTGGACTAAAATAATGTTTTTCTTTTTAACTAGCTTATTGACTCTCCTGTTTATTTACTTTTTCTGGCTATTCTCAGCCAGCCTGCACCTTTCACTTTCAGGTACATCTTCTGCTATTTATGACACCCAAATCCCTCCCCTTCTCTAAAATCAGTTGTTTCAAGTGTTAAACTCTATCAGACTGATCTGTATTACTTCAGACCTGAAACTCTCAAAAGCTTGTCTTTGAAATATTATGTTAGTCCAATAAAAAAGGTATCATTGCATACTGCAATACTCTAGTATTTTGGATATATATCTCAAAATATTAGATCATTTTAAAAGTTTATCAAAAAGTGTACAATTATTTAAATAGCATATCAAAAATATTAAATAATTAAAAAATATATTAAAAAAATATTAAGTCAAGGCTATTAGAAATCCTGGTAAGTGGCAGTTCCGTTTTAAGTACCTTACATTGCAGATAACGTACTGTTATGGCACATCCTATTGCATCCATTTTCAGACAACAGAAAAAATAATAGAACGTCGCAATGTCTTATTTGTATGCTACTATTCAGTTTGATCAGTATGGATACATAAACATCATTCTCTGTATTCTCAGCAGGTGCCTTGTATTACAAAATGATTCGTATTAGCAATCACAAGCATAGACTATGTAACTGGAATTGCTGTTTAATATGCTTATTTCAGTCAGTCTTGCTGCAGTGTACACAGCACAAATAATGATTTCTCACTTATTTTAGCTTTCACATATTCATGCATCTGCACCGACCATAACCGGAATAAAAGAATAGATTCCGAGAACACACATAATTAAATGGCTGGAGCAGGAAAAAAAAAGATCAGCATTCAGTTTTTCAAATTAAATTTAAAAGCTTGCCCTGGTGAGTTAAAGAGATTGGCAAGTTTTTACAAATAACATCAGTGGGCCATTCGGAGACAGAAACATAGCCGTATTGGAATGGAGTCATTAGGCAATACATTTATTTTGAAGCCAATTAACCTTTTGTCAGAGAAATGTCGGCACTGTAATGATTTTAGCCGTGGAGGTCAGCCTCTAACAGAGGCATGTATGACAGCGATTACGTTGGTTGACATATGCTGCAGACTAAAAGCACAGTCTCAGAATGAAAATCTGACTTCGTTTATATTCCGCTCTGCATTTCCTAGGGAGCAGCCAATTCTGACCTATCCATTTAGGTAATTAAAGCTTCCATTTGGATGTGTCCTGCAGGAAGGTGAAATTTGGGGAGATAAATGGCTAGTGCTTGCTATATCCAATCACTTGATGGACTGCCTGAAATAGCTAGGCTTGCCAGGTCCTCATAAAAATAGAGATGAATTGGTATAAGAGATAATTCTCTAAGGCAAAGAGTCTCTGTCATCTTCCTTTTTACGGGAGATAATTTAATTGTTGCCAAGGTAGATTGCTGTCTCAGGGGGCCAGCCTCCGAACAGCTTCCCCCACAACCTTTCATTTGCTGAGAAATTGCTCAGTATTATTTACTTATAAGCCAACTTTGTTTGGCAATAGAAGATGTCACTTCAATAAGCACAGCTGGCAGTCACAGCTGTGCTCTCACTTACCTTCCAGGCTATTTTGTTTCCTTTTGTATCATGCTCAAGGGCGATTGGGAAGTCTCCTCTCTCATAAAACTTGCGAAACGCTGTGGGTTTTGCAGGTCTTTCTTTGAATGCTCCGGCTGCTGGGGGGCCTCTAACCTGCAAACACAAGGTAATAAATGTATCATTTAAATGATAGAATCCAAGAACTATTTCATCACAGAACACATTTTCTTTTCTACAAAGCAGTGCATTTTGCTGTGAAGTAATTTATAATTCTATATAATTATGCTTCCAACAGGTTTCTCATACTGAGATTAGACAGGAAAGATCACTTCTAGAAATAATGCCCTTGTAAGCAATTTCTAAATGGATGGTCACCACTTGCTTTACAATGTCCTTCATATATTGATTCAGATAAACAGTCCGAGATAATGTTCTTAGATCATGCAGGAAATTGATCAGCGCACACGGAACATTTAACATTTCTTTTGTCATTTTATCTTAGCAGGGGTGAAATAAATAAGATTACAATGGATGTTAGCATGGTACTTTTACAAAAAAGTAAACTACAGTATTTATATTGTCAGCTGATAGGAATGGATATGTCTGACACAATTGGAATTGAAAATATATAAATCCATAGATAATATTTATCAAAAAAATATAATATTATGTCTGAATTATTGTCACTGACATACTGGACATTTTATCCAGTCAAATCCCCATCCGGATTAGTACATATTTAATTATATTACTTAGAATGGTAAATCATTTACTGTTCAAAAATGGTTCAGAATGCAGATTTGCAGTGTGAGAATATGTCCATGTGCATTCCTTATATTTGCAGTTTGCCTTTTGGCATAGCATCGTTGTCTAGCTTGTGTACTTACCTGTATAGCAAAAGTCTGAGTTTACTAGTTTCCAGCCAACAGCTGGTGATGTCTCTTGCAACCTAGAGCCCTTCATCTCTTCTGCTCACACCAAGCCTACCAGAAACCACATGAACCTCATCCCAGAACCCTGTAATTTCTACTCATCTACCGATATTCAGTGTGCACTGTGGAATGCCTGCTCTGTCTGCAGCAAACTGAAATCAACAGCTATACATGATTTCTTCATGTCAAAATCTTTCACCCTACTAGCACTCATTGAGACCTTGCTGACCCCCTCTGACAGCGCTACTCCTGTTTTTTTTATGTTTCGGTGGCCTGCAATTGTCTATGGCATTGAAGTTCACACCGTCCACCTATTTAAACTCACTCCTTTAAGAATTGCCAAAATGTATCGCCCTGGTGGTCATCCTGGCCTATTCATTGAACACTTTTCTTCCTGGCTACCCCACTTCCATTTCACTAACACTCCCTCTCTTATCCTTGAGGACTTTATCATCCCAATCAACAACCCAAACAGTTCTGATGCCTCTCGACTGCTCTTGGTAACCGCCTCCTTCAGCCTCATGCAATGGGCTAACACAGCAACTCATGAAGTGGGAAACACTATTGCATGTAAGGCCTTCTTTTTCTATGTCCATGACATCTCTGATTTGCAACCAATTCTGCAAGGTTCTTTGGCAAAAATCCCTGAAACCTTCCACCTTCATATATCCCAACATTTCAAACTGACTATGAGAGACACTTTCATTTTAGGGATGTGGGTGCACATATGGGCTGTTCTTAGACAGTTTAAAGGATCACTATAGGGTCAGGAACACAAACATGTATTCCTGACCCTATAGTGTTAAAACCACCATTGAGCCCCCCCCCCATGGACCCCTCATGCCTACGTAAATATCTTACTGTATTCAAGCCTGGAGCTGTAAACTCTGCATGCTGTTTGACTCAGGAAAAACAAGCAGTCTGCTGACATCATCAGAAGGGGTAGCCTGATCCAATCACAGTGCTTCCCCATAAGACTGGCTGAGACTGACAAAGATGCAGATCAGGGGCAGAGCCAACAAAATTCAAACACAGCCCTGGTCAATCATCATCTCCTCATAGAGATGAATTGAATCAATTAATCTCTATGAGGAAAGTTCAGTGTCTGTATGCAGAGGGAGGAGATAATGAATGTTTGGATGCATTTTAGGCAGCCATGACCAAGGAAGCATCTCTAACAGCCATCTAAGGAGTGGCTTTTTCTCTGAAAAGACAATGTTTACAGCAAAAAGCCTGAAGGTAATGATTCTACTCACCAGAACAAATTCAAAAGCTGTAGTTGTTCTGGTGACTATAGAGTCCCTTTATGTCACTTACTAATAACAAGTAATGCA